CCTGCATGCCAACTCTGAGTCCCACGGAACTTTTAAGTTTGGCCTCTCACACTCTCTCTACATCTGCTATTTCTAAATGTTTACTCTCCCTTTAGCCTTCCCTAGATTTTTCATATCTTTTCTAAAAATATATTTTTATTGATTTCAGAGAGGAAGGGAGAGGGGAGAGGGGAGAGGGGAGAGGGGAGAGGGGAGAGGGGAGAGGGGAGAGGGGAGAGGGAGAGAGAGAGAGAGAGAGAGAGAGAGAGAGAGAGAGAGAGAGAGAGAGAGAGAAACATCAATGATGAGGGAGAATGCACATCCCCTACTGGGGATCGACCCTGCAAGCCCAGCATGTGCCCTGACCTGGAATTGAACCCTACCTCCTGGTTCATAGGATCACTCACCCTCCTGCCTTCTGGGTGGAAGGCAGTGGTGTATGCACTCTGCTTGATGCAAATGTGACTTGAATTTGCACAAGATTAAGGCAGTATGCTGTTTTTCCATTAGCTGTTTTGATAATGCTTGGCAGTGTGTTGGCATTTTTGGCCACGGGAGCACATATTGAGACCATATTGTCAAGGAATACTTTGCAGTCTTTTCTGGTCTCTTTTCTGGGCTGCATTGTTCGGAGTTTCCATTGCGGAAAAGCACTCCGCTTTTCTTGCTCACATGGAAGTTTATGTGCCTGTTTTCTGGGCCACCCTTTTCCTGTTGTCTGTGGCACATGCAGAAAGTCTCTTGGGATCCTCCTGTGTGTATTCTCCACCTTTTGTTTTAGCATTATCATACTTGGGAAGCCTTAGAATCATCTAAAAATCAGATAGTCTGGCATAGTCCCTCTGGGAGGTCACGGGTGCCTGGAGGCACCTTGAGGATGGAGGTAGCAGGTAAGCGTGAAGGAGATTATGACCAGGAAGTATAGGGCATCAGACCAGTGGAGGATGGCACAGATGCCGAGGGAGATCACTGGTTAGGTAGAGCCTGGTGTCAAGTCAAGGGCACAGCAGACACACCCCAGGAAAGCCAGGGAGGCTAAGAAAGATGCTCCTTGTCCTGCTTGGCTTTTCTGAGGAATATGTGGCCCTCAAGCAAGGGATTCTGCTCTTGACTGGGCAAGCATCTCCGAGGGGCTCTGTGACCAGTTTCCCTTCCTCCCAATTGCCATGGAGACTTCCATTTTAAAAATAGTCATTGGGTGGAATCTCAGTGTAAAAGGAAAGAAAGGAAGCTAAATCTGAATATATCACTGCAGTTGGCTCCCCACACCCTGTGACTGTTGACTCCCTTGAGGTTGTCATCAGGTTTGTCTTTTCCTTACAGAGAACACGTTCATGCCTCCATATGTCCCATTGGCTTTCGCCGTGTGTGGGTCCCTGGTTGAAGCCGGTTATATGGTCCTCTTGCTTCGGGAGGGTCGGTGGACGTTAGGTGTGTGGCTGCTAGAGGCATCTCACTTGGCTCCAAATCTCAGCTTTGCCTCCTAGTTGCTGTGGAACATTGGGAAGGTTACTTAACCTCTCTGTGCCTCGGTTTTTCTGATCTGTAGTACTCTCAATAACAACGATTTTTTTTTTTTTTTTTTTTTAAAGAAAAATAAGTAAAGGAAGTAAAACCTGGCAGGTGCTCACAACAGTGCCTGGTATAAAACAGTCCCTCAGGACGGGCCAGCTACGGCTTTTCTCTAGGGAACATAGAGCTTACCTTTGGGGCCTCGGCTCTCTGCAAAGCAGTGTGAACAGTTTAGTCAACGGATAGAAAGCTCCTAGCATTGCTTCCCAGCTCACAGCTCGGAGGTAGCCGTAGCTGGCTCTCCGAGTTGATCTCCATCTCGTTGTCAGAGTTAGACCCAGAACATTCTGTTTATCCTCCTCATCTGCCAGCTGCAAAAAACAAAGGCGTGGGTAACATCTGGTTGCCTCAGTGAAGAATTAGTCAAGCAATTCAATAATCTTTATCTTCCTTGTCCTCTTCACAACCCTAGGTGTACTTTCCTCTGTGAGATGGCGTAGAACTAGGATTTATGTCCTGGCCTGCTGCCTTGGATAGATTTAACGTCCTCCCTCTGCCTGGGAGGGTTTTGCAAAATGCTGCCTGAGTGTTTGGGACGCATTGAGTGCCTGGTTTGGACCGGCTTTCTGATCTCCCTGGACCCCCTCACTCTTCCGTTTGCCTGGGGAGTCTGATTTGTGTGTTTGTAGTGTACCTCCGCTGTTGTGCTAGGCTGCGATTCACCTGTCGGCCATCTAGTTGTCATTGCTGGCTTTCTAGAGCCTGGCTGTTTTGATTCATAGGAGTCTTGTTTTTCCTGGGCTCCCTGGGGGAGCAGATGGACCCGTGGACTGGTTCCGGGGGAGCCTGTGGTCAGGCTGGGGGCAGGAGGCATTACAATGTTATTTCTCTTCCTGCCTCACAGAGTTGTTTTGAGGCAAATGCAATTCTTATTTAAAGTTTTCAGAAGAAGAAACGCTTTGCAAACGCCAAGATGCTAACTAGAGTAGAACCTCAAAATAATGTGATTCACACACAGACACACATGTGCCAGTCATGTCACATGGCTCCGAAAAACAGGTTTTCTAGTTGTGAAATCCCAGTCCATCGGGAGGGAAGTAGGTAGAGCCGGGAGATGTGCTTCCTATTGGGTGTGCGTGTAGCTGAGCCCAACTCCCAGAATGCACCGGAGCGGGACAGAGAGAGCCCGCCTTCAAGCTGCCTGCAGCTCATTCACTGGCAGCCTGGCCTGAGTCCTGGATCCTCCTGGCTCCTTGGTTTCCTCACCCACAAAATAGGGACCATAACCGGGGTGTTCTAAACAAATATTATAGAGCCTCAGTTTTCCCATACATAAAATGGAGTTAATAATATCAACTTTTAAAGATATCAAGGGAAATGGCAGTGATCTTTGGGTTCCAGGGTGGTCGGCGCTGTGTCTGATGGGAGAATTGTCCTATCTGGGCATTGCCAGGGGCCACTTCCTCAGCCCATATCTGCAGGAAGCATGTTCAAACGCTTCACCTCTTCTTACCCCTTGAGGAAAGTTGGGAATGCTGAGGCCATAATGTCCTTGACCGCGGTGGGATGCAGAGCAGGCTCCCCACATCCAACATCTGACCTGCTAGCCTCTCCTGCTCTCACTCTCTGTTTGACAAGGATCTGAATTGCTCCGTGCCTTCTCTTCCCTGTTGTTAAGCCGCCCAGTGCCGGGCTCCTGTGTGCTTCCACCCACTCTCGGGCGTAAGGCGCGCCTCTCTCAGCCCGTGCTGTGTAAGTTCTGAGCATTACGGCAAATAGAACTTTGGGATGACAGACAAATACATTTGAGGAGGAAATGTTGGAAAATAATCCAATAGTGAGCTCCATTTGGTATTGGGCCTTTTATCAAGGCCATAACCTAAACCACTTTATGGAGTTAGGTAATAAAGTTGTCAGACAATAAAAGGAGGAAGCAAGGACAGAAAAGAGGCCTAGAGACTCCTGCGTGGGATGAGGAACTTGTAGGCAGAAGATTCGGGGACCATCTCCTCACTGGCAGGTGCTGGACTCCGAGTCCTGGAGTGTGGGCGCGGCCGGGTGACAGCGGGAGGGGAGACGATCAGGAAAGCAGAAGTCTGGAGGTCTAGGCCTCCTCTGTCTTGCACAGCCATAGGGGCTGGTCCATCTTTTGCAGCCATGAATTTTAAAGGACTTGCCCATGAAGCCGTAACCAGCTCTTGGTTCAGTGGAATTGGCCCCCAGACCTCTCATCCAACCCTTGGGGGCATGCAGCGCCCCTTCTCGCTGGCCTGTCTTCACAGCCCCCCTTCCCCTTCCCGAAATGATCCCAGAGTCCCTGGCTCGCTTCTCTGGAAACATGCACCTAGACAGTCCCGGGGGCCCGGGCTTTGTTCTGAGCTCCAGGAGGCTTGCGAGTAGCTTTGCGCTGGGTGACTTCGGGGAACGCAGTCGACAGATGGAGGAGAAGGTCGGACGTGGGGACCCTGAGCCAGGGTGGGCGAGGTCTTCTTCGGAGAGTATTTGTTCCTCTTGGCCTCCCCGCCCCCGCTGTCCCTTTCCCGGCCATGTCCCCAGTGGCCCTGGCCTTTCCTGCCCTCCCCCAGCAGATGACTTTTCCTTTCTGCTCCGGGCTGTTCTGGGGAGGAGGGGAGGAGGGGAGGAGGGGAGGATGTTGGAGCACTGCCTCTTATGCTATCAGACTCCAGCATTAGAATCTTGGAAAGGCTCCACCTGGAAAAGAGTTCCAGAGAAAACAAACCTCAGATCCTGCTCATATGGGAAAAGGCCTGTGAGCACGGAGGCAGCTTCGGGGACCTTGGCAGAGGCTGACCGGCTTGGCCCTGCCGCTGATGGGCCTGCCCCAGAGCCTCCCGGGGCCATGGACGCTGATGGCCTCCAGAGGAGACTTCTCTCTCAAGCGGCCATGCCGCTGGTCACGGGCGCTGTAGTCTGTGTTTCCCTGGCGAAGCAACCGCTTTTGTTTCTCCGGCCTTTATGTCCTAACGAAGGCAAGGAAGATTTTAAGGAGCCGAACACCCCCACTCGTCTTCCCTCTCCCATCCTTGTACTTGTTTTCCTCTAGAGATGAGCTGAATTTCTTCTATGGGAGAGAAGGTGCCAGAAAGAGGGTCTTGGGACCTGCAGGGTTATCTCCCAGGTCCTAGGAATCCTCCTTCCAGCTCGAGGAACCACCCAGATAGCAGTGACGGCAGGAGCCCAGGCTGCCCTGGCCCCATGGGGAGAGGGACCAGCACGTTAGGGAAAGGGGCTGACAGAGGCCAGGTGATGGCGGGTCCTTCTCCTGACTCCCTCGCGCAGTTCTTGAATGCCACCTTGCCACACTCAGAGGATGCCAGCTAGACTTTACGCTAAAATAAACCAGGTGCCCTGCAGGTCAAGCAGCGTGAGAGCAGGGGCTGGCAGCACCTGGGTTTCTGCCTGGCACTGTGCACTCAAGAACGGTACTTCCCTGTGTTTTTGCACTCAGGGCTCAAAACTGACCATTAACTGTCTGCCTCTTCTGCCAGGGGTCTTTTCAAACATAGACAATCATGGGATATTAAACTTGAAGGACAATAGAGACCATCTAGTCCCATCAACTCACTATATATATGAGGAACCTGAGGTCCAGAGTGGGGAAGTGTCTTACCCAAGGTCACATGGTGAGTTACCTCCTTTGGCTTTTGAATGCGTAACAGACCCCTCCCCCGGCCAGTGTTGATTCTTATGATCTTAAGACCTCACTGAGTCTCCATACGCCCCAGAGGTGCCCGTGTGGGGTTGGTACTAACATCCCTTAGCTTGGAAGAGCCTTCCAGGGTAGGATGCTTCAGAGGCCTCGGTGAGGGCTGTGTGAGGGCCTGGAGAGGAGCAGAGGTGTCCCAGCCCTCGGGGCAGGCTGCCCAGACCCAGGAAAGCCCTTTGCCCCGTCAGCAGCGGGCAGCCATCCCGGAAACGTCACATCTTGAAACGGACCCTCTCTCTAAACATGATATCCTACAAGGGAGGTTCCTTCTATCTTCACAAACCCGAGCCTGCTTCCTGCAGAGCGGGGCTCCCCACATCCAAGATGACTCCACTCTGTTTAGATGAGAAGGAGGGAGAAGTCTCAACGCAGCCTATTGAGTCTCTCTCCATCATCTTCCCACCTCCAGCTGCCCGTGATGCACAGGCAAACCAACACACTTTCTATAGACACTATTTTACCAACCTCGTCTTGACCTGATGTTAACAGAAACACCTCCTCCTGGAGATGCAATCAGGAACCCCCCCTCGCTGGACACCCCCACGCATCCATGGCAGTGTGGCCGTGACGGAGCTGAGCTGCCATGGAAGCCTTCCCTTCCTACCCTTTCCTGGTGAAATGAGAGGAAAAGGCCAGGAGAAAAGGGCGGCAGGCTTGGAAGTGCAGCGTTCCCTCCTCTCCCCCCCAGGGTGGTCTGTGTCACTCCAGCTCGGGTTAGAAATGGCCCTCCTGTCCCCTCAGAACGTCAGTTCGGAGAAAGCGTCCTCCCTTCAGGGCTTCAGCAGGGCTTCCTCCCACTGAGAAGCCGAGGCCACGCCCCCGATACTTTGCTCACTTCCCTTCCGGGGTTCAACGGAGGCTGCAGCAAAACGGAGAGCTTCCGGTTTCTCTGACCACGCGTGGTTTTCAGTTAATTTCCTCCTCTCCTGCCCTTTGGCTGCCAGTTCACGGTGCCATTCCCAGTACCTCTGTGCCCGCATCTCCCGTTCTTCCCCCTTCCCAGCTCCCTCTCTGTTTGCCCTCCTAGTTTTGGTCTTCTTTGGGGGTTTTGGCTTTTTACTTTATTTTGCCTTTTTCTGTTTTTCTGTTTTGTTTTTGTTTCTGTTTTTTATAGGTTTCAGAGAAATTATGTTGAATCCAATAAGCCTTCCTGGACATTCCAAGCCTCTTAACCATGGCATCTATGTTGAGGATGTCAATGTTTATTTCAGCAAAGGACGTCATGGCTTTTAAAAAAAACAAAACTCCTTTTAAAGCCTCCCTGTTCTGATGCCGCCTGGGTAGGCTGGCCCTTCTGAGAGGTTGGAAGCTCTAGGCCTTGTTCTCTTTGGATCCGGGGATGCTAAGTAGAAACTGCATGAGCCATGGGTGCCTGCACCCTTGACCACCACCGAGACGGGAGTTCCCCATCCACCCTGCAGGGCTGCCCTCTCCCTCCAGCCATCACTGTGTACCTCTTTGTCTGGCCTCCGAGGCAGCTCCCGACGCCATCTTTAGAGCCAATAAAGAGAATTCCAGACCTGTGCACCAGGAACCATCCTGTAAACACGCTAGCCATTCTCTTTCTTTGCAAAAAAAGACCCAGCCATCACAAGCAAGCCTGCTGAAGTCCAGCTTCGCTCCGGCCTCACTTGCCCTGCCTGGAAGCCGGGGGTCTCCCTGGCTCATCTCTGAGCCACCTCGTCACCCGCAGCCTCCGGTGGGGAAGAGCATCTAAGCAGAGGTGGAGCCGGCGGTGCGAGGAGGGGGAGCCAGGCCCGAGCATTGGCGCCAGATTAGGCCTCAGAGGAACGAGTGAAAACCCAGGTGTTCTCTGCGCTTTTATTTTTGGTGGAGAAAACCAGACCGTGTATTTTTGGACACAGTTCCCCCTGCTTCCTCTTCTCTGGAGCGGCCCCCAGTGCGTGTGGCGTTAGAAACTCCTCGGAGGGTAGGACCCCGGGGTCCTCCCTGGCACCTGGGGCTGCAGGAGGTCCTGCCTGTGGACTGGCCGACCAGGGACCAAGGCCCTTTCTGGTAGTCCGTGATCCCAGGATTCTGTCTCTTCCCCGTTTCACTGGTTCTTGACTCTGAGCACTTGTGGAACCCAGTGGAATCACCACGTCAAGGCCAAGAGGAGCTGAAGGGGAAGAGAAGTAAAACCAGGCCTCCCCCAACCCCTCCCGTGGCGCCAGTGGAAGTGTCATCCTGCTCCCTGGTCACGATGTGCGCGCACCTTGCTGGCTCTGGCTCAGGCCTTTCCCCACGACTGCCCTCTCCCAACGCGGAGGTCCCCTGCTTTGATTTTTTTTTTTTTTTTTTAAAGGGGGCACAGTTGTAAGGTCTGAACCTCTCCCAGATTTGCTGCCACAGTGGTGAGAGGGCTTTGGCGTGGGCCCAGCGACCACCGCCACGGTACCTCTGTTGTGGGGAGTCAGCCCCGGCTGCCCCCGGGTGGTGGAGAGCCTGGAGCAGGTGCCTCCGCCGGGGCGGGCCTGGAGCCCCATGGTGGGGGATTGAACCCACGGAGTTTGGGTGGCGATGCACAGCACTCGGTCACAGAGTCTCCGCCTTGGGCAGACTTGCCTGGGGGTGGTGAGGATTCCCTCTTAGGATTGAGGTCCTGGTCCTGTGCGTGCATGGTGGCTCTTCGTACCAAACGCCCAGCGTGATTCTGCAGACGCTCCCATGGGGTTTACAGACTCCATGTTCTTGCCCAGTATCTGGGGTGGTCTCCCAGGCACCCGAGTCCCAAGTATCATCCGGGGATTCGGGGTCTCTCCAGGGCCACACGAGGTGTGTGCTTGTCCGGCCCCTCCCAGCTCCCCACCACCCTGCGCCCCCTGCTTCGTGTCAGGCTGTTCCCCACTGTGTCCCGCCAGCCCCTGGGCCAGGCCTCCTCCTGAGTGCGGCTTTAAGGCGCGAGCTTGAGGGTGATGTTTTTAATTATTGTGATCATTACCTCATTTCCAGCCTCCCAGGCTCCATCCATCCAGCATCTTTTACTCTGCCATTTTCCTCACCTTGTGCTATCACAATGGGGCGTTGTGTTTCCACAGAGACTTATAGGAGTGTTCAGTGTATAGTTTCTTAATAAACACTTTATTTTCTAATGAAATGGCTGGATCAGACCTCTTATTTGGCAATTTTGCAAAGAATATGGAAGATATAGAAGTTCTAAGCTAGCGCCTTCCCCCTCAGCCCCCCCCCCCCCCATTTTACTGTTAATCTTTTAAAGAAGTTTCTGAGCCCAAGTCCTGTTTCCAAAGGTGTTTATAGTCTGTTCCTTCGGTGGCTGTCATTGAGGCACCTTCAGATAGGTCAAGTCCATCCTGTGAAGTGCTTCCTCATCTTACTAAGAAGGAATTACAGGCACAGAGAGGTCAAGTGGTTCACCCGGGGCCACACAGCACAAGAGGCAGAAGTCAGATTCCTCCTGACCCCCCGGACACTACTCAAGCGACTGAGACTCTTGACTTCTTGGTGGCTGGGGATTCTTGTGTTGTCCGAGCGCCAAGGCTTGTGGAGACCCTTCCTTCAGAGTGGATGTGGGGAGGGGGGTCTGAGAGTGGGGATGGCGGTTCCTGTATCTTTAATGCACCAGCAAACCAGTGGGATGGGAGAGGTTTATCTCCTCCCTGTGGGCCTTGGGTGAGCTTGCCCAGAGGACGATGGGCCAACATGCGGATCATTTATAGAGACACCCCATGCATGCAAACACATACACATTCTCTCTCTCTCCTCTTCCTCCTCCTCCTCCCCCTCCTCCTCCTCCTCCTTCCCTACCCCTCTCTCTCGTGTGGGCTAAACGCTCATGGGCTCATGGCAGGTCTCGTTTGGGCTGCCCGAGAGGGAGGTGAGGGAGTCCTGTGGTCCTGCTGTGAACAGCAGGCTAGCTGGGCACTTCTATGTTCTTGGTCCTGGGCTCCGTCACGGCCGGAAAGGTGGAAATGCCTTCTGTAACCCATAATACCTTCCTCTTAGGCTCCCCAGAAGGGACAGAGGGAAAACTCCCCAGGGCAGCAGTAGCAGGGGATAAAGGGATGGGGAGCCACCCTCCCAGCTCTGCCGCCCACCACTGCCCACGCTGCCACTGGTGACGTGGGTGAAACTGCCTGCAGCCCCCAGGTCCCTCGGCTGGCTCTGACTCAGAGTTCGCCTTTAGAAGTCTCGTTCCCACCCCCGCACTTCCCACCTCCAGGAAAATAGTCTGGATCTGACAGTGTACTTACTCCCAGAGCTAAAGAAGCTGCCTCCTCCAGTCCTACTTGGTCCCAAAAGTGAGTCGCAGGAGAAGTACTGACAAGAGATAAGGTTCTTTGTCTGCTTCTGGGGCGCTTCAGAGATGCCAGCGGGTTCTGAGGCCCATCTGGGTAGGATTTCAATCCCAATTCTTCCTCCTCCTCTGTGGGTAAAGCTTTCCTGGAGTGACCCCCTTTTCCCATTGGGATGCCAGCTCTTGTTCGGGAGACAAGGTCTCCCCTCTCTGTATCCTGTCCCGTTCCGTCAGGGCACTGGTGCCTCCTGTCATGAGCTGCTGGGTGTGTACGTGAGGGGGTGGGTCCTCCTCACCCCCACATTTTGAAGAGGGTGGGAATGAATGCCGTGTTCAGGTGCTGAGTGCTCTGGGTGGGGGATGAAGAGAACTGGGAGGACGAGGAAGCTGTGGGGCGTGCTGGCTTTCGTGAGGACCTCTGAGAAGCACGGATCCTACAGGGCACAGAGGATGCTGACGGCCCAGAGTCTGTGTCAAAGGCCTCCAGCCCACAGCATGACCAGGTCTGTGCAGGCCCGATCTGGAAAGGCTTTGGGACCATGGGAGGTGGAGGGGAAAGGCCGAGTCTCCAGCTCCTCAGAGAACAGCCCTGCAGGAGACATCCTGGCTGGCTGAGGGCTTTGTGGAAACTTGAGCCTGGAAAGCAGGAGATGCATGAGCTTCCTACATGGTCCCGGAGGCAGCCCTGGGCGCCTCAGGGTCGTGGTGTTTTCCCAGGACTCCGTGCAAACGGGAGCTGCTCAAGGCCCCCCTGACGTACATGCGCCTGGCTCTGATCTGGCTGAGGGTGGGGAGAGGGGCAGGTGGAGGAGACGAGAAGGGAGTTTGCTTGGCTCTTCTGAGAGGCAGAGACACTGAGCAGTTCCTCCCTTTTACCCTGACTAAGAGCGATGGCGATTGCTGTCTGAGGCTTTGGAGGACGGCTCAGAGCTCCCCGCTCAGCCGTGGAGGGGCTTTAAGGACAAAGCAGTTTGAGGGTCAGAGCATCACGTCGGCTCAGAAAACCCCTCCGAGCCCCGACTCTGGTGAGGGCCACCGACACCCGGCTTGCCTTTGTGCCTCTCCCTTTCTCTTGGTTCCTGCCACCCACGTGCTGTTACCACGGTAGCAAAATGGAGCCAGGTTCTCCTTCGGGGGCCTCCCTGGAGCCGTTGGCCTGTTTCCCTTAAAAAAGGCACCATGCTCTCCCTGCTTCTTGTCCCAAGTTCATTCCGCAGGGCAAGGGCCTGCTCCCAGTAAGGTGACTTCATTGCTTCCACGTAGCCTGGGATCATTCTATCTTGGGCTCTGAAATGCCACTGACTTTCTATCCTTGTGCTGCACTAGAATTGCATCACAGCGTTCTTCACTCTGCAAGGCTGCCGACAGCCTTTTGGCCAAACAGCATGCGATCTTGACCCCCGCCCCCCCCAACGGACCTGTCAGGGAGAGAGCGGATGGAGGGGTGGGGGCAGGGTTCACTGCGTCTTTCCCAGTGGCCCAGGGAGGCGTGTACTTCACGCCGCCAGGTTCCTGAGGCTGTTGGGGCCTCATACCACGGAGAGTCCTGAGTCTGAAGCTGACAGGACCCAGGAGAGCCCTGGACCTACAAAGGCCCTCTCACTCACGTCCAGTCTTTCTCAGCACTCGCCAGACAGGCAGGCTCCAAGGTCTGCCCTCCTGCTGCCAAAGTCAAGGACAGCGAGTCCTCAAGTCTGGGTCCAGGCCCTCCTGCAGGCTGTCGCAGGGAGCAGGGACATGCCAGAGGCCAGGCTGGCTGCTGGCTAAGCCCAGCTGATGTCTTCCATACACACCAAAGTGTCAGCACGCCTTAGGCGTTAACTCTGAGAGAAAATTCATGTGACAGAGAGCCCGAGAAGCAACCTCAAAGCGATTTTTGTCCAGAGCATCAGTCTCTGAATGCTTAGGCTGGCTGAGAGGACACAGCCGGGGCCCCCGACTCTCTCTGCTTGCCCCCCTCTGGGGCCACAGCTCTGGGCCGAAGCCTGTCACCCCAGGGAAGCCAGGCACAGAGCCGGCCAGTGGGAACCTGAGTTCGCGAGGAGCCGAGGCGACACCTCCCACGGAGCATGTATCCTGAGAAGGTCCTTCCCGGAAGGATTTAAACCCCCAGCCCATGTCTGAGCGACTCACAGCATCGCTCAATCTTTATGGCCGTCCGTTTGACATTTCCCGCTCCTGTAACGGGCAATTGGCGCCTCGCACCTTTAATGCCAGATGGCCGATCTGGTCGTTTAGAAACACACAATAAGCCCGTCGCAGTCTCAGGAAGATGTCTTTGGCCACCTTAATACTTTTATTGAGTCAACCACTTGGCCGAACTGATAAGTTTTCTGGGCAAAGCTCCAGTTTCTGCCCCGCGGTCCTCTCCTCCTCTGAAACCCCCACCTTGCAGAGACGCCTCGTCCTCTGTCTGCCTCTAGTTTTCAGATAAGTGATGTTGTGGGGGTCAGGCGCCCCCTCTTCCGTTGGCTACAGCGCTGCTTCCTTTTAGTCTCACGAAACGCTACCAGTCCAATCAGGTAACTTTGGAGACTGTTGCCATAGCCACCTGTTGTAGATTCGCGCGTGCACGGGAGAATACTAAAGGTTCTGACACGTCCTGCCAAATGTAACGGAACACAGGATGCCCTTCATTTAGCACCTGTTAATAAACTGACACACACACACACACACACACACACACACACACACACTTTAGGAAAACTGAGTTGTGAGGCAGTGAGAAGCTCTTCAAAGAAGAACCAAGCAGATGTGTTCACCAATCACCGCCCTTCCGATAAATACGATGAACAGCACAGCCCGAGGCCAACGTCTGAGCCAGCTGCGGGCTCCGTCCCCACTCCCGCTGCCCTCTGCTTTGCACAGACACACAGGTGATCTGGGAGCTGGCAGGCAGGCACAGGAAACCTTCCCTGTGATCTCTCGGAAGAAAATGGTAAGTTACTTCACCTACGTGCCTAAGACGCCAGCCCTAACCCTGGCCACCCTCCCGGGCTGGTGGAGGTGGCACCCCCTAGTGGTAGCACACAGAAACGAAGACCTGGAGCCCAGGGTGGGCACTTCTAGTAACAAAATGCCTCGGGGTAAGTTGCCTTTCCCTGTTCCTTATTTGTCTCTGAGCTTAGAGAAAAGACTCTGCCTGGACAGGTGCCCCCAGGAATCAGTATTGTCTTCGAGTGGGGGACATATTTTGGTCCTTGAATCTGACTCTCTCTGCTCAGTGCCTTGGTGTATCAGCCGGGAAGAAGGACCTTTGCCCCCTCCTGAATGCTGGGGAGACTTGGAAGCAAGAGGAAGGTAGAAAGAGGGAGAGAGCGAACCACCATTCGCGTTGGGGCCGGGGGACTTCTCTGGATGAGGCAGGAAGCAGACGCTCGGGGGTTAACCGACCCTCTCTGTCGCAGCAGGACAGGGCCAAGTGGGAGTTCTCTTCGAGATTTTTTCCGACTTTGATCTCAAGAAGGCAGCTCTGCCTGACAAATAGTCTGAAATGTCAAAGAATAAATGTGAAAGCTTGAGGGGTTGCTCTCCTGGGAGCTGCCTGGGCCGGTGAGGGAGGGCGAGGAGCAGGGGAGAGAGGGCCCCAGCAGAACCCTTCACATAAAGATTCCGGCGCGGTTTGGTGATATTTAAGAGAAAAAGAAAACGCTGAATTATTTATAGCACAGAAGATGGGAGCAGCCAGGCTTCAGATAATAGTTCCCTTTCCATTACTTAGCTGCCCTGCCTTTGAACTCGTAAAACTTCTCTTACTTGGTGACGTGGGATTGGCCCCTCTTTGAGTTATCTCTTGTCATCGTCATCGCTATTGCTAATTTAATTAAGAGAATATACGTCCT